GATGCACCGAAAACAATCCCTTCAATAATTTCGCGGGCCGCCCTTTGGGACCTGGGTTTTCTCCGCAGTTACGCTGCGTTTGGCGCTGATTTGTTTTCTTCAAGTGTGGTGCGGCCAAGGTTTGGAGCTGTGGGTGACGGGTCAACAAGTGCCCGGGGCGCAGTGCGGCAGGCGCAAGCTGTGGCAGAGGAGGGGGGAGGGGGTTTGCGAGCCAACCAAATTTGAACACGTTTGTATGCTTTCTGATCTACTGGCACGCGCTGACACGAGATTCAAGCTACAGATCACTTCGAGCCCATCTTGTTGGGCTATATTATTACGCACTTACCCGGATGACGTCGGACTATGCACGCTGTAGAGCATGGACGTTCTTCCAAACAAAACAGCACAAACAAACTAACCCTCCAAGCAGTTTAGAAGAACATGGCAACAGGCTCTTGTTTCCGGAATGCTGGGTCACGCGCACCGCCATTTGGGAAGTACCAGTAGTCTAAGGGCAAGGCGTTGTCTCTTGACCCTATGTGGAGTTGACTGCGGCGGCGGTGGCGTCCACCACCACGGCAGACAACTCCCCATCGGGCCAGGTGCAAAAATGGTGGTTCGAGCCCACCCTGGTACATTTACTTCGTCGCGTCCTTGAACTCAGTCGCGCTCCGTATTTGATTAAAACTTGCGCAAACATTAACGGCAATCGTTCAATCGAGCAACCTATCAACCCACGCAACAAAACAATCACTCAAGCAATCAACCTATCTTTCAAGCAACCAACCTACCTACCAATCAGTGAGCCCATCCATCAACGAATCAGCCAGCCAGCCAGTCAATCGCTCGGTCAATCAACCAATCAACCGTTCAATCAACCAACCAACCAACCGATTAACCAACCAACCAACCAACCAACCAACCAACCAACCAACCAACCAACCAATGAACGTGTGCACACAACAAACTCACCGACCAACCAGCCAGCCAAACAAGCAAGCAGGCCACAAACAAGCAAGCCAACAGTCATCACTCTGCCCAGACCTGATTAATGTATTAGTTGGCTGGCCAGCTTGTTTGTTGACCAGGTCTGTTAATCTTGTTCACATGGCGTGCAGTGTGTTGATGCACTTTTGTGTTTCTGTGTTTGTTGTGTGTGCGCGCTGCTGCGTGTTTCTTGGTTTGTTGGTTTGTTGGTTCGGTTGTTCGTTTGTTTCTTGCTTTCTTTGGCTGAACTTTTGGTTGGTTGGCTGGTTGGTTGGTTGGTTGGTTGGTTGGTTGGTTGGTGGGTTTGTTGGTTTGTTGTTTGTTGTGTGCTTGTTTTTGTTTGACAAGGTAGTTGTTAATTGACGAGAGCAAACAACTGCAAGCCAGCACGAAGAATTTCAAACAATTAACACCAGCCACCAAAAGCACACACACACATAGGCTCTTGCAAGGCAACAAACACCTCTGCCTCTGGTGCTACCCAAGCTGGTTAAATGTTGCCGGGGTCCGGAAATCAGAAACAAGAACTTGGGGTCCGTCCACAAATGTTAGTTTGTCGATTCTACACAGGAGGCAGGCCTGGACAATGTTCACCCGGCAACCCAGCGACTGGCTGGCATGCGCGAGACCAACTCGAACCGTGACCTGTTTCGTTTTGTGCGACTCCCCTTGGACATCGCGATGGTGAAATGCACGGTGCGTCAGCAGCCCGAGTCCACAGAGTACGTTGAGCAGGATCTGCCTATGTATGACCCGCACGAAATGCTAGACTACCTTTGGAGAACTCAGCGCATCCAGGTTAGCCCAAAGGAGATTCAGCGCCTCGCTCTGAATATTAATGGCTCGGCTCCCCCCGCGTCCTATGGTGCTGAAAGTGGTTGTTGTTTTTTTGCGTTAAGGGTCTCGCCTCATGCTCATATCGAGGACATATTGGTTGCATTGGCGCTCCGTGTCTCAGTGGGCCCGGGACCACCCAGCTTCGGACGACTCGCTGCCGATATCCATCTACGGCGATGAAGCACGTTTTTCGCAAACCCACATCGACAAATTCGTAGCATTGTGTTTGCAAAGCCCGCTCTTGCACAAACGACGAGGCGACGCGTCTGCGCAATTTAGTTTGTTGTATGTTCTCTTTGTGTGTTCCCAAATGCCACGCAGCAGCCACGCGTGCTAGTTGAGATCTGAGGTTCAGCATGGCTGAAAAATTTCCTCTTTTTTTATTGTGAGTTCTGCTATTGCTGTTGGCACTGGTGGAGTGGATTCCTGGCAAGCCATCAGTACATTTTGAGGGGTTTGCTGCAATTATGTTGCAACGGGCGGGAAGTAACTTTCGCAGTAGTCGTGGCACTTTGTTTTTGCAGCAGGTCACCTTACGCCCAATACTGGAACGAGCTGTGTGGTCGCTCAACCTGGCGCTTTTGGCTCGTCGTCCTTCTGCTGACATGGCCCAGCAACATGGCTACACTCTGGGGCCGAGGGCTGAACAGTTGGCAGCTCGCAGCCCCCAGTGAAGTGCGTCTTTTGCAGTCTGCGAGTTGAAAGGGGACTGGAAGTGGCTGGTAGAACTGTTTGAAATTTGGCGGCATTATTGGAAGGCTGGGTGCATATGCCACAGGTGCAACACAGCACGCATACCAAGGCGCAGGTTCTGAAGACAGTTTATTGGCTTGATTCTTTAATCTAGCTGGAATTAGGACCCCGGCAAAAAACTATCTTTTTTGCCTGGTTAGTGGAAAACAAAGGGACCCCACAAAAGCAAAGAAGGAAAAAGGGGAGCTATTTCTGGGGAAGTAATCGTTACAAGGTTGTATTCCTCGCGTGTGTTGCGCTTGCTTTTGTTCTTGGCGCTTCCCTGGAAGGTTTGGCCAGCTCTACTCCAGCTTCGGTGCCCAATGGGAAGAAAGAAGTACATATGAATTTTTTGCTCAGTGCTTGCCCCACAACCCTAGCCCGCTTACACGGCTAAGTGGCTTCAGCGTGGAAATGCTGACACCTGTCTTTGCAATGTTTGTATTTTGGGCATCTATGTGTGTTTTTGTTGTACTGATTGTTGTTTTGAAGTTATCCGAGTAGCGTGCCCCAAAACAGCCACTTTCCTGAGGAGATGGTGCAGCATGCACTCGCTTAACCTTGGGGTGTACCTCATCATGTGCGCCGAGGGGCTATTGGTCTTGGGCGAGGATTGGTGCGCCAGGAACCTTCCAGAAGAGAATATCGCCAACAATTTGGACAAAGGGCTCAGGGTGATTTGGGTGAAGTTTAAGAGCTGGCTACGATGCAACCGCATTTCTTGCTCCATTCGCGCTTGGACTGCTGCTGCGCTACACTACCAATCCGGCGACTTTCCCTGGATGAAGCTCAAAGCGTACAATGCAAGAGTCGTGTTGGGGTGGCTGGCTGTTGCACGGTTGCGTTGGCATTAGAGTTTGCTAGTACTTTGCTACATTGCTACGTTATCAGGACCACTGGCTATCTTATTTGGATATTTCACACTAGTTTCCTTATTCCATGCCACGCTGGCAGGATGAGCTGGCATCCACACGCGCCCAACTTCTGGCGCCCCAGCCTCGCGAGCTGCAGGAGGCCACGGCTCGGCGAACACAGCTGACATCGCTGACCATTGCCACGGTGCAACTTAAATTGCACACCGGCAAAGTTTTTCTTTTGAGTGCTGTGTCTGCGCAAATGCTTTTTGTTTCATGAAGTTGGGGGTGATTCAATTATGCAATGGTACAGGTGTGCGTTTGCCCAATGGCAGCTGATGCATGAGAGCATGGGACAGTATCTGACTCCTGAACAGGCCAATTCACTTCATGAAGTTGGGATGGCCGCCCTCCATTTTTATGGGGCAGCTGCTCATGAAGCGGCGTCTCAAAACAAGATGCGAATGTTGCTCATCCCAAAAGCTCACATTTACGAGCATATTTTGAGGGATGGTGTGCGTGAGTTGTACAACTGCCGCTTTTTCCACAATTTTGGAAGTGAAGACTTTATGAAGAGCTTGAAGTCTACATGTATAGCATGCGCGGGTGCCAATATGGAGATCAAGGTCTTGAAAAGATCCCTCCTCAAGATTGTCACGGGAAAACTGCAGGACGTTTCCGGGATCAAGTGAGCCAAAAAGGACGCCGGGCACCTGGCATGCCGCTGCCTGGCCCTTGGAGTTAGGGGCAGGCTGTTTTCTTGGTTCCCGTTTTTCTTGGAACTGCTGGTGGTTCCCAAAAAAAACGTCGCCAGCCGCCATTCCCCAGCTATAGTGGTAACTGGGATCCGCTGGGCATCATAAAGCCAGATAACCGCTAAACATCTATGGCCATTTTGCGCCGACAAAATTCGGGCGCTCAACTGAGCTTGCTTGGTCCGCTTGTGGGCGTGAGGAAAGCGGATTCCAACGGATCCCTGAGGACCCGAGCGGCAAGGTCGTAATAGATCGGCCCCCGATGAACAAGGACAAATCGAGTGTAGATGCAACGTGTATGGACATGTTATTTACATACATGCTTATCGTCTATACATAAATGTATACACGTACACATAAGCATGACTTCGCTAAACCCCGGATTGATTCTGATACGGGGGTGTGCCCTTGTGGGGATTCATCACTTAAGGGGAACACCACCCTATTAGGACAGGTTTATAAATCCCGGGTGGAAAGCTTGGGTTGCGAACTCCCCTAATCAACATGGAAAGCAGAAATGGGTTTCTTGAAAAGGGGGGGGGTCTCCAAATTGTGGTGGTTGGGGTCCATGGTAAGCCGGGGAGTAAGCTATGGAGGGTTGACGTTGAAGAGAAGGAAAAGCAGTCCAGTGAGATTTCAACCACTAAACCACAACAAGCAAAAATGAGAAAACAGTTTCCCAACTAGGTCCTCCAGTTGAAAGGTCAGAATAAGGGTACCCTTTTGTTCTGTAGTCTATTTTAGTAGGGGAACCCTCCCAACCAAAAAAGAAGCGGTAAAAGGGCACCTAGCTGGGGGACCTAGCCAACAACAACCATGGTTTTCCAAGCTGAGCCTTTGGCAAGCCCCCGTCCGGCCAAGACTTGCAGCTACGGCCCAGCAGCACAGCCACCGCCTCTGCTGCCAGCTGCACCAGCATTGGGGGCCGCCTTAACAAACACGAAGTGACCAAAAGGCCGACTTGCCATGTATGTCTAACTGGAGTCTCCTTCCGACCCTGTAAAAATGGGTCCATGACTCCATCATTTGGGGTAATGACCAACCTTTTTTTTGAGGGTCAGAAGAAGACTCCGGGTATATGTTTGTGCCCTGAGCTTGCAACAAGGGGTGAGCCTCCCCTGCCCCGCCAACGGAATGCGAGGCAAATGGCTCCTGGAAAAACGAAAAAATCGGGTCTGTCCTTGAGTTGATGCCCTTTTTGGGATGGTATCGAAGAAACACTAACACAACAAAGTCTCCTTAACTTCAGAGTAACAACCAAACCTAACTGTTTTCCCGGTCACCTGGAAAGCGGCACTGGCCCTTCACTTTCCCCATGTGGCTTCCAATGGGTCCCATTGTCAAGTCGATCCATGGACACATCTATGTTCTTTCTTAAGCGGTTTCGCTTCGTCTGGGAGCACCTCACACCAAAGACCAGTGCTAGATTCTTCCACAGAAACAAAACACACATGTTTGCCGTGCATTTCTTTGGTTTCTAACCCAGGGTTGTCTGGGGTAATTGGGGTTCTCCAATGCAATTCGCAAACCTCCACCGGCCATGGGGAAAAGAAGAGCGCCCTGTCGGCATTCGAAAGGGAATTTCCCTCCAAAGGGAACAAGGGCACCGCTGAATGGAATTTCATTGGGGGCCAAGAAGCGCAAAGCACTTGAGTTCCTGGATGCTGGCAGCGTCCAGCACATTCAGCTCCGTTGCGAGTGCCTCACTCCGCAAAACCTTTTCCAATCGGCTTGCTTTTGCGAATAGACACGCCGTCTAGATAGTAGTAGCACATTATGATAAACAAGGTGTAAGAGTCAACGTTGTTCTATCAGCTCTGTCGCTAGTGCATGGTCGGAAAGCAATGCAACTAAGCTATGAGCTCGGGGGGGGGGGGGGTAAGAGGCAATAGTATGTATTATATGGCCGGGCGGGTTTGCTAGTCATCCAAAGTCTTTTTTTTTTCAATTTTCGCAATTCTGCAGGAATATCACGCAAACGCAAGCCCAGGTGCACGAAGTACCGAATGACGCCCCTGCCACACAAACGCAGCACTTGCATCTCCATGAGTGAGTGTGTGTGAGTGAGTGTGTGTGTGAGTGAGTGTGTGTGAGTGAGTGTGTGTGAGTGACTGTGTGTGAGTGAGTGAGTGTGTGTGTACGTGAGCGGGTGTGTGTGAGTGAGTGTGTGTGCGTGAGTGTGTGTGAGTGAGTGTGTGTGAGTGAGTGTGTGTGAGCGGGTGTGACTTTGTGCGTGAGTGAGTGAGTGAGTGAGTGAGTGAGTGTGTGTGAGTGAGTGAGTGAGTGTGTGTGAGTGAGTGTGTGTGAGTGAGTGTGTGTGTGAGTGAGTGTGTGTGACTGAGTGTGTGTGAGTCAGTGTGTGTGAGTGAGTGTGTGTGAGTGAGTGTGTGTGTGTGTGTGAGTGAGTGAGAGCGACGGCGAGTGAGTGAGTGTGTGTGACTGAGTGTGTGTGAGTCAGTGTGTGTGAGTGAGTGTGTGTGTGAGTGAGTGTGTGTGAGTAGTGAGTGAGAGCGACGGGGCGGCGGGAGTCGGGCGCGCAGCGGTAAAAGTAAGAACCCCACACAAAGATATGGGGATCAATGTGTTTTTGTTTTAACTTTCTCAGTATAGGTACAAATCAAGCGGGGGAGGTCCTAGGGTCTATTCGGGACCGCAAGACTGAGGAAAGCCTGCAGCAGGGGCAGCGTTTGGGAGCTGTCTAAAGGGCTGGGATGTTGTGGCGCGCGCGGCTGTGGGCCCCCATCTTGCGTGGCAGGCGCAGGACTTTGGAGAGGCAAGTGCTGAAATCATGGCAGGCGCAGTACTTCGTGGACCTGGGCTTGCGTTTGCGTGGCAGGGGCAGCATTTGGGAGCTGTTTAAAGGGCTGGGGTGTTGTCGCGCGCGCGGCTGTGGGCCCCCATCTCGCGTGGCAGGCGCAGGACTTTGGAGAGGCAAGTGCTGAAATCGTGGCAGGCGCAGTACTTCGTGGACCTGGGCTTGCGTTTGTGTGCCAGGGGCAGCATTTGGGAGCTGTTTAAAGGGCTGGGGTGTTGTCGCGCGCGCGCTGTGGGCCCCATCTCGCGTGGCAGGCGCAGCACTTTGGAGATGCAAGTGCTGAAGTCGTGGCAGGGGCAGTACTTCGCGCACCTGGTCTTGCGTTTGCGTGGCAGGGACAGCATTTGGGAGCTGTCTAAAGGGCTGGGGTGTTGTCGCGCGCGCGGCTGTGGGCCCCCATCTTGCGTAGCACTCGCAGCACTTTGGAGAGGCAAGTGCTGAAATCGTGGCAGGCGCAGTACTTCGTGCACCTAGGCTTGCGTTTGCGTGGCAGGGGCAGCGTTTGGGAGCTGTCTAAAGGGCTGGGATGTTGTGGCGCGCGCGGCTGTGGGCCCCCATCTCCCGTGGCAGGCGCAGCGCTTTGGAGGTGCAAGCGCTGAAATCGTGGCAGGCGCAGTACTTCGTGTACCTGGGCTTGCGTTTGCGTGGCAGGGGCAGCATTTGGGAGCTGTCTAAAGGGCTGGGGTGTTGTCGCGCGCGCGCGGCTGTGGGCCCCCATCTTGCGTGGCACTCGCAGCACTTTGCAGATGCAAGCGTGAAATCGCGGCAGGCGCAGTACTTCGTGCACCTGGGCTTGCGTTTGCGTGGCAGGGGCAGCATTTGGGAGCTGTCTAAAGGGCTGGGGTGTTGTCGCGCGCGCGGCTGCGGGCCCCCATGCGAGCACTTTGGAGATGCAAGTGCTGAAGTCGTGGCAGGGGCAGTACTTCGCGCACCTGGGCTTGCGTTTGCGTGGCAGGGGCAGCATTTGGGAGCTGTCTAAAGGGCTGGGGTGTTGTCACGCGCGCGGCTGTGGGCCCCCATCTTGCGTGGCACTCGCAGCACTTTGGAGATGCAAGCGTGTGAAATCGTGGCAGGCGCAGTACTTCGTGCACCTGGGCTTGCGTTTGCATGGCAGGGGCAGCATTTGGGAGCTGTTAAAGGGCTGGGGTGTTGTCGCGCGCGCGCGGCTGTGGGCCCCCACGCGAGCACTTTGGAGATGCAAGTGCTGAAGTCGTGGCAGGGGCAGTACTTCGCGCACCTGGGCTTGCGTTTGCGTGGCAGGGGCAGCATTTGGGAGCTGTCTAAAGGGCTGGGGTGTTGTCGCGCGCGCGGCTGTGGGCCCCCGTCTCGCGTGGCAGGCGCAGCACTTTGGAGATGCAAGTGCTGAAGTCGTGGCAGGCGCAGTACTTCGTGCACCTGGGCTTGCGTTCAGGTGCATGCCTTTGTTTTTTTAATGCGTGTCAGGTAATTTTCATTTCATCCTTGAGATTGGAGTTGCAAGTGGGAAGGATATGCAGGCGCAGTACTTCGTGCACCTGGGCTTGCGTTCAGGTGCATGCCTATGTTTTTTAAACTGTGCCAGGCAATGTTCATCCTTGAGATTGGAGTTGCAAGCGGGAAGGATATGGCATCAACCATATTTCGCGCTTGCCGCAGCCATTTGATTGAGAGATTCGCTCATGTTTCAAATTCTGCATTCAGCCCGACAGGCTTTCTTATTCAGGGCTTGCAGCATGTATCAAGTTTAGTTTGGAAATTTGAAATCAGCAAAAGGAACAGGACGTAAGTTTTCCTTAGCCGAAGATGCCAGTTGAGAGCCATCGTGGCGCATGGCGAGCATCTTCCGCGACGGCCGCCGCGTGCGAGGTCCAGTGCGACGTTTGCGGGCAGAGGCAGATATTGATTTGTCTCAATTGCAGAACGCGTGCAGCGAGGGGCTAGCAGCATTGGTAGCAGCACACGCAGCGATGTCAGCAGCAGCCAGCTCCAGGCAGCAAGATTTGCAAGAGGAGAGACCCGCTATGCCAGCGGCAAGGGGGCAGCAAAGCCAGACGCGGGACACGCTGCTTCAAACATTGGTGGACTGCTTTTCCCAGTGGCTGCGTCAAGGGCACTGCGACAGTTGGTCTCGAGCTACGCCAGCATCTCGGGCGTTGGCATCTCGCGCACGCCGGCTGGAAAGCAGTGCTGACATGTCTGGGATTCTGGACGCTGCTAAGGCTTTGGCCAGTGAGCATTTTGCCATGGAGGCCCTTGCCGAGCAGCCAGACGCCCAATGGCTGCGTGATCTTGGCATCCAGCTTCGCTTGGACTACGGCAGCCGTCCTCTGCATATCTCTGGTTTGGACATTTGCCATGACTATGTGGGCTTGCGGAACCTGGGCAACTCGTGCCATTTGAATTCTGTGGTGCAGTGCATCTACGGGTGCGCGCCGTTGCGCGAAGATGTTACAGGGCAGTCTCCGCACAAAGGGCCGCTGTCTAGGCACTCGCAGCGACTTTTTCAGCAGCTGTCTGGAGAAGATGGACGCTGGGACTATGTTTCGCCTGCTGCGCTGCCGATGCGTCAGAGTGTTGCAGCATGTTGCTGCATTCCTGCCTGACACGGCCAGCGTTGTTTATGGAGCCGCAGGATCGGCTAGCCGCAGGATCACACACACACACACTTACGCGCGGTTTCCTGCGCTCTCCGATATATTGACGAGTTTGCTGCTTGGACAGGCGGCCTGCGACTGCGAAAGGCGAAGGTCGGAAAAAAAGTGAGAGATGTCTACTTGAGACTTTCTGCTTGCTGCATGATTGCTCGTCCAACGGCACTGTTGCTGAACCGGCTTCTGATATGTCCGCAGCTATTCTTTCGAGCGGCTCTGCAGGACGCATGGCGCTTCTTTTGAAGCCTTCCGAGTACACGGGCCAGAAAGGCACAGCTGTGGCTGGCCGGGTCGTGACACTGACTCATCAAGAAGTCAAAGCCAAAGCTTCCACTGCGGACGCCGCAGCGCCGAGACACGGCAAAGGCAGCAAAGGCAAGAAGATAGCGGACAAGCCTTCTTTGAAGCTGGAGATGCACCTCGCTGGCACGGACAGCATTAACGAGGTGCTCTATGTGGAAGCTTGGGGGGAACAAGCAGACCACCTGAAGAAGAAGCTCACCCAGGGAGACTTGGTGTCCATTGCTGGAGCGACGCGCATTCCGGCCGCGCAGAACTACTCGACATCACGACTGCCGTATCACTTGCGGGTGAAGGGTACCGTGGGAGCCAACGTCATTGTGCAGAAGCTGGACGCTTTGCCTTGGTCGAGTGTGCCAAGCTGGCATCCTTTGGTGCCGCTTTATGCTCTTGACCGCGTGAAGGAAAGGCAGCAAATCTGCGTTGCAGTGCTGATTGAGGAGAATCCGGGCACCGTTGAGAGAGACACTTCGGCTGGCAGAGTGCCGGTGTGCAATGCGGTCGTGCAGCAGGAGGGCACGCGTGTGCGGTGTGCATTCTGGCAAGAGCAAGCGGGCATGCTGGCAGCCAGGAACGCTGGCGAGTGCGTTTTCTTGTATCAAGTCTTGGTGGAAAAGAAAAAAGAAGGATCCTGGGAGCTTGGTAGTTGGCGCATGACTCAAGTCTTGGATTGTCCGCTCGAGAAGGGAGAAGAGATCAAAGCCGCTTTGCGGAAGACAGAAGAATGCAAGATGCTGACCGAACTTCCTACCCGAGACTGGGCGCAATGCGAAGCCGTGCCGAGCACTTTGAGCGCGCTGGTGGGAGCCATTTTGTGCCGGGCCAGCTTCGTCAGATGGACACTGTGTTCAAAGTCTGGGGCCTGCAAGTGATGGGTGTCAGCTCCGTGCGGTCCGAGACGGATGAGTGGGTCCTCAAGTCGTGCGGCAAATGCAAGAAGGCAGCGCCTTGTCAGGCGC